CTTCTTCTGTCTTAGGTTACAGGGCTCCCAGTGTGCAGTGGATTCTGGGAGTAGATATGACAGTTATGGGAAGGGCCAGACCAATGCCAGGAGCTGTATCCATAAACCACTTGCCCAAAGGAGGCTCTCAACACTTCCTCCACAGCCCTGAACCCCAAGGAGCAGAAACTCCACACAGCATGCAAGGTATCCAAGTGGCAGAGTTGGCCTGGTGGCAGAAGGGAGGTCCAGGTTCTTGCCAGGACTGTCTACTCTGGTTTCTCTCTTCTTCATCCTGTGCCAACCATCCTCTCAGATGAATGGTTCAATTGGCCAATTTACAGCTCAGGTGGGGGGTAGGGGGAGCACTTCGGCCAGAGCCCTGCCACCCCAGCCCTGTCACCACAGCCTTGCTACCATCACCCTGTCACCACTACCCTGCCACTGCAGCTCCTTTTGTTTCTCATTTTGTGCCCACTCTTGATGCCTTCCCTTCACATGTGCAGAATAAAAACACGAACCTGTCTCCCCAGGCTGTAAAAAGAAATGGCTGACATAAAAACAGGAAAAATAAAAAGATAATAGGGCACTTTGTGAATACACTGCACATAAATACTAAATAAGGCAATGGTAACTGCAGCTGCAGTGGAGGCAGAGGAAGCCGTGTACCAGGGAATTCCAGAGTGCCAAGCAGCAAACCCGATGTGCAGTTTCTACTACTGCTATTTCTTAGTCCTTTTTGAGGAAAAAGGACTTCAAAGATTTCCACCAGGCACCCACACAGCCAATGTCTGGGGCATGAGCTATCTCTTTCCATTTCAATTTGAATACATCAAAGAATCCAGGAAGATGACAAGTTACTCTCCCCCACCACACACACACACACACACACACACATACACACACACACACACCCCTACCTAAGAAAAGATGGCTTTCGGGTCCCTTCCTAGAAATAAAGAAAGGAATAGAGCTCACTAATAAGATAACCCCTACCATCTTCTGACTTTTGGTTAGAGTGAGGGACCATGATTATCAAAAATATTGTCTGTTTGCCCCAACATCTCAGTCATTTCTCCTCTTCCTGTTTCTAGATCTGAATTCAAAAGATGGAGATCAGTGACTTACAAATAATAATCAGGATTTCTACTTTGTTAAAAATGGTGGATAATTTGCTTTGGTGTTTCTTCATTAGGTTTATATATTTGCTCTCTGAAACAATGTGATAGCTGGGCACTGGTGGCAAACATCTGTAACCCTAGCTTCTCAGGAGGATGGGACCTGGAGTATCAAAATTCAAAGCCAGTAAGACTCCGTCTTCAATTAAAGAGAAGAATGGTAGACTAGAGGTATGGATTAAGTGGTAGAACATCCACCATAAGCAAGCAAGAGAAGTGAGAGTGAGTAGCCTGAGTTCAAGCCCCAGTACCAGTACAAAAACAAAACAAAACAAAAACAGGCCAACTTTGTGGATCATGAATATAATCTGAGCACCACACCAGAGGCAGAGACAAAAAGAAAATCACAAATTTGAGGCCAGTTTGGTGTATAGCCAGAAACTTGTCTCAAAAATGAACAAAAAGAGCTGGGAAGGTGGCTCAGTAGTAGAGTGCTTGCCTTTCATGCCTGACGCCCTGGGTTCGATTCCTCAGCACCACATAAGCAGAAAAGGCTGGAAGTGGCTCTGTGGCTAAAGTTGGTAGAGCGCTGGCCTTGAGCTGAAGAGCTGGACAACGCCCAGGCCCAGAGTTCAGGCCCCACGACCAAAAAAAAAAAAAAAAGCCAGGCATTGGTCGATTATGCCTATAGTACTAACTACTCAGGAGATTGAGATTTGAGGATCATAGTTTGAAGCCAGCCTGGGCAGGAAAGTCTGTGAAATTCTCCTTTCTACTTAACTACTAAAGAGCCAGAAGCAGAGCTGTGGCTCCAGTGGTAGACAGCCAATCTTGAGCAAAAAGGCTCAGGGACAGAGCCCAGGCCTTGAGTTCAAGCTTTAGGATTAGCACACATTCTCTCTCTCTCTCTCTCATACACACACACACACACACACACACACACACACACACACATCAAAAGTGAAATAAGGTACTACTATGTACCACTTTGGAAGAATATGGAGAAATGGGAACCCCACCCTTGTGCATTGTTGGTGGGAATATAAAAGGGTACAGTATTTATGGAATTATAATACACAATATCTAATAAAAATTATAGGCTTTAGCAATTCTACTTCTGGGTGTATAATTCAAAAGAATTGAAAGCAACAACTCAAGGAAGTATCTGCACACTCATGTCCATAGCAGTGCTATTCACATTAGACAAAAAGTTCAAGTAACTTAAGAATGTAATGATAGATGAAAGAGGAAAAAAACATATATTTTACTACAAGAAAAAATGTACTGAACCAGGGAGGTCTATAACCCTAGCTACTCAGAAGGCTGAGAGCTAAGGATCATGGTTCAAAGCCAACCTAGACAAGAAAGTCCATAAAACTCTCATCTCCAGTTAAGCACCAAAAAGCCAGAAGTGGAGCTGTGCCTCAAGTGGTAGAGTGTGAGCCATGTGTCAAAGACATCACCCAGGCCCTGAGTTCAAGTCCTAGAATCAGCACACACACACACACACACACACACACACACACACACACACACACAACACACACAACACACACACACTAGTTTGTAGCTATGACATCATATTCTAGCCTTCCAACATCCATGGGGAAGAGAAGTAGGAATTCCAATCTCCCTGGTACAGTTTATATAAAGGAAATGAGACCCATCAGCACTAGGTACCCTGGCATGTGGCTACTCTCTGCCTGTGGCTTTTAATTTGCAGCATAGAAACAGGCGCCCACTTGCCGGGCGCTGGTGGCTCACGCCTGTAATCCTAGTTACTCAGGAAGCTGAGATCTGAGGATCGCGGTTCAAAGCCAGCCCGGGGAAGGAGAGACCGTGAGACTCCTATCTCCAATAAACCACCAGAAAACCGGAAGTGGTGCTGTAGCTCAAGTGGTAGAGCGCTCGCCTTGAGCTGAAGAGCTGAGGGACAGCGCCCAGGCCCAGAGTTCAAGCCCCACGGCCAACCAAAAAAAAAAAAAAGAAAAAAGAAACAGGCGCCCACACTGCTAACCCGAGGACCAGGGTAGTTTGGATCTGCCTGGGACTCCTCCATTCTCTTCCTGTTTTCTCTTCTTCTCTTCTGTTACCTCCTATACTCCAAGAAGGTTGCCAGACTTAACAGAAAGCCTCCAGGATGGACTTCCCATTATGACTGGCTCTCAGGTTGGCACTGACCCCCGAGGAGAGGAAGACCAGAACCACCTCAAGCCCCACTGTCTGGGTGGTGTCCCTTGTCCTGTCCTCTCCCGGCCCCTCGAGGCTTCTTTTGCCTTATCCTGGAAGCCCCTTCTGAGCTCCCATCCCTTGTCAGCCTCCTGCAAACTCAGTTCCCAGTTTTTAGAACAGCACAGCCCTTCAGCATCCAACCAACTCCTTCCTCCCAGGAGACAGGTCTCAGCTCTCCTGGGGCCACTGCTGAGTCAAATCTCTCAATAGTATCTCTCTCTCCCATTCCTCCTTCTTTACCATCCTCTTTTCATCTCCCTTTTCTTCTAGAAGCTTCTGTATGGGCAAGACCATCTAATTGTGCGGCTGATTTTGTTTGCTTGAAAACAGGTGCACCTGTTTGGGCTTTGTGGGACTTTCCCATCACTGGCCAAAAGGAGAGAGGTAGAGCTTGCTTGACACCAGGGCCCTTATGAAAGCAAGGACAAGATAGGGCCTCTTTGGTGGGGCTGGGTGTGCCAGAGGGAACATGGAAGGGAGGCAAGGCCTGGCCTGGGAACAGGGGAGGGTCCTAGGTTGGTGCTATTCCCGGGTCCAAGGAAGGGGAGCTGGGAGGGGGGATCTAGAGTGTTTAGTAGTGGAAGTAGAGGGGGCAGGTGTCATGGCCGGGGAGTTCTGGGAAAGTGGGACCCTTCCCGCCCATCCCGGGCGCCTCCACCCAGCGTCAACTTTTTGCTGTTCCCGTTAGATGGCGCTCAAGACTTTCTAACCACTTGGTGAAAGTGCTCCTGGCCTGGAACAAAAAGAACTAGGGGTGTGAGGAGGCGAGGGGAGCGGTGGGGGTGGGGGGAGAGGGGGGAAAGGGGGGGTGCGCGCGCGCGCGGGCCGGGCACGGGGCGCGGGTGTCGCCTGGCACCACGCGAGACGACGTCACGGGTCAGCCTGGCCTCGGCGGGGGTGAGCTGCGGGGAGGACTTGGAGCCTCCCGCCTAGAACTTTCTTTCCTTTACAGTTCCCGTGGCTGCTCGCTGCCGGGGGCAGCCCTGGCCACGCTCAAGAGAGAGAGAGAAAACTGGTGCCCAGGGGTGACAGAGGAAAGAAGCGGGGTGCAGACGCACCTGGACCTCCACCCCGCGTCTTGACTCTGCCCCAGCTCTGGCACACCTGTCTGGGATCTGTTTCTTTTCTTTCTTAAAGAGAAGGGGGCGGGGGCAGGTGCAGGTTTTGTTCCCGTCGTTTTTTAACCACTCGGTTGAAATGGTTCCAGGAGAGGTTCAGAAAGCTCCGGGCGCGCGTATTTCCAGCGGGGCACACCTTCTCAGCTCCAATGCTTCCTTAAAAATAAAACAAAAAGCCCTCTGATAACCTCGAGAATCAGATGCGACCAGTAATCTTAAAACAATCATTGATGGAATCGATCAAGGATCAAGCTTTCTCTGTGACATAAATTCACTTTTTCTAGTCTTTTGCCAGTCTCCAGGAAAAAGTGAAGGGCGATAGGCGATGCGTCCCCTAGTCCTCTCCTTCGGGCGGATGTAAGCGCGCAGAAGGATGGGTCTCCGCACCCTTCGGGAACCCGCCACCGCCAAGATCTTCCCTTATGTTCCCCTTAACTATGAACTTTCCCTCGCGGTAGGTTCCCCTTTAAGAAAGTAGAGATTGCCATGAATATTTCATTGGGAGCACCGGCTATCCAAGCTTGACTAGGGGGGAGCCGAGGACCCGGTCCCCGCGCGCGCAGCGGCCGGAGCGCCCAGCTCGCCGGGCCCCACCGGTCCCGCCGCGGCTAGAACCTGGGAACGGGGCGCAAGGTGGCCAAAGGAAATGGCTGGGGGAGGCGGCGGGGGAGGGGGGACGGGAAAGAGACTGGACCCGGGGTTCCAGGGTCGGAGAGAGCGGGCATTCGCGTTCATTTCCATAAGAAAGCTGCGATCCCCGTTGGAGGCCGGATTTCTTGGGCCCCTCCGCCCTTCCCCCACAGCCGGGTTTCTGTAAGCAGCCGGCCCAGGAGCTCAGAGGTCCAAGTGCGTGCTGTGCTTGTTGATGGTGTTGATAAAATGTGCTTTGAAAGGTTGCCCTGGTTGAGGCCAGTTTCCTGTCTGTGCGTGGAGTGGAAGGAGCGCGCCGGGTGAGTCCAGAGCTCCGGGGAGCGGGCAGGGGAAGAGGTGAGTCAGGATGAGCACTGTGGATGTAGGTCGCCCTGGAGAGAATGCCCTCCCAAGGTTTTGAATGGAGAGGAGTCAGGTTGAGACCAAATCCGTGGAGCAAAGGTGTGTGTGTGTGTGTGTGTGTGTGTGTGTGTGTGTGTGTGTTGGAGTAGATGATGATAAAGGGGGTCACAAAAGCCCCAGAGCCCAGGCCGCCCCGCGCTTGGGAAGGACGGAGTGGCCTTGTGGGGGTCCCTCAGCAAAACCCCAGGGAACTTTCGCTAGCCACTGCCTACCCTCTTCCTACGAAGGAATAAAGTGAACTTGCTCGTATATTTGAGCCCACAGTTCTCTCTTCGTTTGCATCAAGTTTCTTTTTCGGATTTCAGTGTGAACAGTGCTCGTGTATCCTTAATTCTATCACACACACACACGCACAAACCCGTCTCCCAGGTACTTTATTATCTCATTTGGAGAAATCAAAAACCAGATCTTTAATATTTATCCCTCGTTTAAAAAGAGCAAGTGGGGGTGGGGTGGAATTTGTTAGACACATATCTGCGAATATAGCAAAAGTATTTTTCTTTCCACTGGGAAAAGTTGCCTGCAAATGGCTGGCTTCCTTTTACCAATTCTGGACCACCTGTACCTCCCTGCGAAACTAAATGGGGTCACTAATAAAGCACCAATTAGATGGAGCAATTAGATACCAATTATGACTATTAACAACTCTATCACTAATTATTGTAGTTGAGGACTACAAAGCTGGTCAAATTGATCAAGCTATTTAAAAATTCTGTTACCTAAGAGTTTTATATCCCTTCTACCCTTAAAGGAGGTAAGAAGAGCCAAGGAGTTGACCAGTAGGTATTCATCCACCCTCGGTGTTGAATTTCTTTCTTTTAGTAGAGTGTATTGCTACTTCCTGTAAATAATGGAGTCTTCATTTTAGGGCCCAGTCAAGTTATGCAAAATGTAACTGATGAAGATGGTTGCAACACAGTTGGTTTGGATGTGAAGTTGGGGCATGGTGGGGGTACAACTTCTCTCCAATTATTTGGTTGTTTCTGAAAATCATGTATGCAACACAGTTGGTTTGGATGTGAAGTTGGGGCAGCATGAGGGTACAACTTCTCTCCAATTATTCGGTTGTTTCTGAAAATCATGTACATGTTCTAACTCTTCAGATGGAGGAAATGGCTCCTGGGGTACTAGTAGGCAAAGGAATGAAAATTGCTAAGATTCAGAGAAAAGGCTTATTCACACCTATAATCCTAACTACTCAGGAGGCTGAGATGTAAGAATCACGGTTCAAAGCCAGCCAGGCAGGAAAAGTCTGGGAGACTCTTATCTCCAATTACCCATCCAAAAGCTAGAAATTGAGGTGTGATGCAAGTGGTAGAGCACTAGCCTTGAGTGAAAAAACTAAGAGGTAGTGCCCGCACCCTGGAGTTCAAACAACAGCACCAGCACCAAAGAGGAAAAACAAGAGAACCAGAGATATAAGGGATTTGGGTGTCCATTTAAATTTTTCTTCTGGCCTTGGCAGATCAGAACTGAGTGGCTTACCAAGTGAAAAGTTATCAAGAAGATTTTACTGGTTTAAAAGTCTGCAGTATAGCTTGGTTTACTTTTTGTTGAGGATGATTAGCTTCCTGTCTTAACCTTTTTACTGACAATCCTTGTAATCAAATTAAAGTTAAGGCTCACTTCTGAGGTGGGAGATGTGGAAAGATCAGTCCCCAGCAAGAAGAATAAGAGGAGGGGGGAAAAAAGCAGTTTGCCAGAGCTCCTCTACCAGTGAGAAGCAGACTAAGCAACAGGACCGTTGGAGGAGCCAGGAGTTCCTCTCCATATTGCTTCTGCTCACAGTTGCTTGGTTCCACCCTTCATTCTGGCTTTCTAGACCACTGGAAGTGTTTGGGGAAATAGAACTTCAAATCTGTTTTCCTTAGAACAGTCTTTGCCCAGCACCTGAGTTCCTGCATGGAAGCCTGCAGCAGCAGCATACATCTGGTCATGATGTATTTGCTAGGATGTGGTGGAGATTCCCAGGCTGCATTGTAGACACCTGAGTTGTTTAAGATGAGGAAGCTACACTGCTCAGCAGTCCTAAAGGTTTTGATTGGTTCCTAGTGCTCTGTGTGTGTGTGTGTGTGTGTGTGTGTGTGTGTGTGTGTGTACTTGTACTGGGGCTTGAACTTAGGGCATTGGTGCTGACCCTTAGTTTTTTCTCTCAAGGCTGGTGCTCTTCCACATGAGCTACAGCTTTCCTTCTTGCTTTTTGTTGGTTAGAAGTAAGAGTCTCATAGATGTTCCTGTTCAGGATGGCTTCAAACTGTCATCCTCAGATCTTAGCCTCCTTAGTTGCTAGGATTATAGCATGCATCACCGTGCCTGGCTCTCATTTTTATTTTGTCAGAATTAGTTGCTCTCCTCTGGGGCATCTCACACTTCAGACCAGCCAAGAAATACTGTTGGGAAGAAAGAAATCCTCCGAAGGTAACACACAAATAATCCCCCAAACCGTGTTTGAGTGGAATGAGCTTGGGTTAGTCTCTCTTTAGCGGGTCCTATGGATAAACTTTATTTTGCCCTGTACTGCAGGCAACTTATGTAGGACCCTGATGAATCCTGAAAGAAAAGCTAATACAGCCCTTTATGTGGGCCACTGACCCCACTGGCAGGTCTTAACAGGCGGGCTTCATGGGCTTCAATTCCCTGCTGTCCCTAAACCAACCCCTCCCAGAGAACAAATTCTCTTTTAATCCTGAGAACTCCAGAAACTCCAGGGGGCAAGAAGCTAGGACTGGGTTCCATGCAACTTCCAGCAAGGCTCATCAGTTTAAGGGTTTGCCTCTCTTAAGTCTGGGATGGAGTTGGCAGGGCTTGGGAACCAGGAGGAAACAACAACAACAACAACAACAACCCTACCAATTGTTCTCATTCCCTAGTCAGCTGTAGACAAGTCTGAAACAACAGACTTGGTGAGGAGAGGAGGGATAGGGGGTGGACCTGGCCCTAGGTTTATTGACCGTCCAGTTCAATCTGGTGGTTCTAGCAGGAGATCCTGAGATCTGTGCTAGAAGGAAGACCAGAGATCTTCCCAAATGCCCAGGAAAAGTGAAGAATACCAAAAGCTAGTTGGTTCCCAGACTACATCACTGCTTCCCTTTTGCTCAGGAGGTCCCTATCACCCAAGTCTCAAGACACCTGGTGGTGGAAACTAGAGAGAGCCAAATTTCCCTCAACTTGTCATTTGTTTGAAAGTTGTCAGATAAGCGGGAAACATTTCTCTCACTAATAGGGTCTCCCAGGTGTCAGAAAACCTTTCAATTCCTAGTGTAGCCTTCATATCCTCTTAGGGGGACACTTACACATTATTTAGGATTTGAAGAAGAAAGGCAGGAAGGAAAAGAAGGAGGTTGATTGATGTCCAGCTACCCAAGTAAGTGTAAATGAGTTTATTTCCTAAAAAGAAATTTTACACCTTTAAACTTTTCCCAGCCAGGGCTCACCAAATTTCATTACTGTCTCTTGTCAGCAACCATCCCCCTCCTCCATCTCTTTTTCTCAGACTTCTTTGTGGCTTAAGCTTGCATTTTAGGAGGGTTTATATAATGTTCATGTCAGCAAGTCTCTCTGTCCCCACCCTCACCCAGCTTCTTGTATGAAATTGTAGTTGGAAACCACACACGCAAGATCTTTAAAAAATTTTCTGCTATTCTTCCTGACTAGAAGAATTGACAAGACATAGACACATTAAGTTGCATAAAATACAGTGGACTGATCAGCCAAAATGCATCTCATTTGCACTTGTATGTAGCTAGGGTTGGGGCTCGTGTCACTCACAGCCTCCTGAAATCTCCGCCAAGCTAGAGAGACTGGGTAGAATTTCTAGCAGGCCCCATGGTGAGGCCATTTGTGAGGTAGGAGGCCCAGCTCAGCCTGGGCAGGGGGAGATGGAGGGAGGTGGGGAGGTGGGGAGGTGGTGGGGAGGTGTCTGGAGGCCTGGTCTGAGGGTTGAAGAAGCCAGTAGTGCAGTAGTGCAGGAGGCTGGGACAATTGGTTGGCGGGTGTCCGCAGATAGAGATAGGAGGTCTGTAGTGATCGCTCTGAGCATCCACTGGGTTGTAAAGAAAGGAGACACCTTGAAGTAGAGGAATAGTCACTGACTGTATTTTATACCCCAATGAAACCCTCCCCCAAGTTGTATCCTTGGACACCATAGGAGGGATATCTGTGTCTGACTGGGCTCTGTACCTGCAGCTGACCTTGAACTTGGACTCTGAGCTTCCCACTACTTGATTCTACTACCCTTCCTAGGCTACCAATGGGGAGAGGGGACATGTACCTGGAGTTTCCCAACCTGGAGGCAGAAACGTTAGGGCTTTAGTGTCCTTCTTTCCTTCCTTCCTTCTTTCCTTCCTTCCTTCCTTCTTTCCTTCCTTCTCTCTCTCTCTCTTTCTTTCTTTCTTTCTTCTTTCTCTCCCTCCTTCTACTCCCTCTCCCTCCCTCTTCCCCCTCCCTCCCTTCCTCTTTCTTGCTTGTTTGCTTGCTTTCCTCTTGTCTTTCTCTCTGTGTGTCTTTCTGTCTCTGTTTCTCTCTGTCTGTCTCCCCCCCTTCTCCCTCCCTTCTTTATTTGCACCTTATGTAGACTTCAATCCTCTTGGTCTCCAGGGTTGAATTGTCAATTCACACCGACAGGTTCTTGCCCCACAGCTGGAGGCCAGGGTTGTGCATGGTCTTAGGGTTACTACCAGGTTCTGTGCCAGCAGGGAGAGTGGCACAGAGATGCTGGTGAAACCGGGGTCTTTGGGGGAGCCACGGAGCGGGGGAAGGAGAACCGAGTGCGCAGGCCTAGGCGCGCATCCCTGGACACCTCAGGATAAGGGGTGCTTCTATCCCAGCGTCCTGTTTCTGGTCCTCACAAAGTGTAAGGCTTGCAGAGACACCTCTCACTCCCCCACTCCTCAGGGATCTGGCTGGAGGTCCCAGCACAGGGGTGGTGGTGGAGGAGGAGGAGGAGGAGGAGGGAGGCTGTACATCAAGGCCTGAGTTCTGCCCCCAATCTTCCGGGGGCAACCAAGGGCCAGGCGCGTTACCCAACAAAGCCACCGCCTCCGTGAGCCGCCCGAAGAATTTGCCAGGAACAGGGCCCTGTGGACCTAGGCGCAGCCACCTACCCAAGAACACGGAGGCCTGCGGGGGAGCAGGAGACGCCTGAGGGGCTGGCAGCCAAGCCTGCACCATTGGCAGACCCCCCCGCCCCCCCACCCCACCCCCCCCCGCACCTACGCTGCCGGCCCGGGTGTGTGTGTATGGGGTGTATGTGCAATCAACCGTCTCTACCTCCTGGGAGCTGGGGAGACGCCTGCAAGGTGTGTGATCCTTGCTAGTAGTTTTTGCTGGAAGCCTTTGTTACAGCTTTGTCCGCGGGCGTGCCTTCATCCGCAGCCACTGCTGGGCCGCTCTGGTCCCTCTCTCCTACATCCCTGAGGAGAGGACTCAGTGCGGTACACGGGGACGAATTTTCCCAGGATCAATCGTCTTGCTCCAATTCCCCTCTTTCAAAAACGTTTCCCCCTTGACTGCAATTTCCCCTTCAGACCTGGGGGACAGATAAACAGTTCTTTACCACCAAGGCCTTTGGGGCCAAGCTTTGCCCAGAGATCAGGCTTTTTTGAACATGACCTTGTGCTACTGCTGGTGGTAAATGAGAGTTGGGCCTGGCCAGGGTGGGTCCTGCGGGGTGCAGCTGGGAGGGAGTAACCTGGCCTCATCTGGATTTGAAGATTCTGACAGAGTTGAGTAGAATGCCATTTGTCTTCTGCTGGACATAGGCAATGAAGATGCAGTATTCTTGAGGACCTTTGCCTTCCGATCCTAAGTCCCCCCCCCCCCCCCCGTATCAAGTGTGACACCTCCTCAGGCAGGACCTCTGAAGGATGCTCTGGCACACAGAACTGGAAAATAGGACTGTCTTCATGCACACCAGTTTACCCAAGAGGCATGACACACCCTACTCCCTCTCTGCCTCCCTCTCTCCCCTCTCTGCAGTATTTCTGTTGAACTGGTCTTCATGTCTCCTTCTTGGGCTTTTCTGCCCGCATTTGGAGAAATGTGGTGTGTGTGTGTGTGTGTGTGTGTGTGTGTGTGTGTGTGTGTGTACCTCTCCTAGCAGAGGCTTCTGTACATTACATAACACACTAGCAGGGGATTCCTCAGATTATCATTTTGTCCCAAATCAGCTAGCACTTGGTGTTCTGGCAAGGTGATGCAAATGGCAGTCAAGGCTCCTGTCCCTAGGGGCTTTTGTTCTCCTCCTTGAAGCCGAAGTTCAAGGGATTGGAAGAAAGAGGTGAGACAACTGATCTCCCTTTTGGTCTCTCTTCTGGTTTCCACCCTTTCACCTGTAGGTCTCCTCTTTGATTTGAGGAGGAAAGCCCAGAAAGCTGCTGGGTGAGGTATATATGTAGATCCTGCTGACCCAAGCACCTCTCCTCACTGAAAAGCAGAAAGCCCATTCAGGTGGTGGCGGTTTTTGAGTTTTTGCCACCCCCATTTCCCCAGACTAGTGGAACTTGAGGTTACTGGCTTAACAAACCTCTCCTGTTAAAAAGCAATCAGGACATGAATGGGGATGTGGTCCAGTGGTAGAGCACTAACCTTGTCTATGCAAGGTCTTGGGGTTTTATCCCCAACACCAACCAACCAAACAAACAAACAAAACTCTCCCTAAGATAGCTAGGCAATAGTTCTTAGAAGGAGGTAAAAGCCTGAAATGTTTCTCCTCCCAAACCATTCACTAATATAGTTTGTAAATGTCTCCACCATTGTAACTCAAAGATTCTCAAACTAAGGCTAGTAAGAGTTTTATTTTCATTTTGTTGGGTTTTGGTGTGTGTGTGTGTGTGTGTGTGTGTGTGTGTGTGTGTGTGATTAGATTCTTTCGATACATCAGATCTATCTTTATCTTCAACTCTGCAGGTGAGTTTTCAGCTTTGGACATGTAAATGCAAAGTCATCTTCCTTGCTGTGTAACTTACCTGGGCAGGCCCAGGCCCCTCCTCACTCTTTGATACTGTATCTGACTTGGGTAGTGTGAGGTGGCAGGTTTTGACACCTTTCATTTCTGTGCTGGCAAAGGAGAGCTCTTTGTAATGAATATCTATTCTATTTCAGTGTGTAAAGTTCCAGCCGACTACACGGGCTTAACCTTCTGCTGAGAGACCATCCTGGAAGACTGGAAACTCTTCATCAAAACATCTCTTGTCTTTTTTAATGTAATTAAACAAAATTATTTAAGAAATGTTTCGGCTTCCCTCCCAGTGTATGCTCCATTACTTTGTAGCTACAATAATGAAACATGAACAGTGGTGGTCATTCTTTTCTCTTTTGTAAGAGTGTCCAGTAATAGGGACTTACAAAGCCCCAGACACAGCTCAGGTATGCCCTTGGCTTTTTGTTTTCTCCCCTCTTACTGAGCCACAATGCAAATTCACACTTGATCTTGCTTCCCTCTGGCCAACTCTTCCCCTAAGCAAAACCTCTCTGCCAACTTCCAGGAGAAGGGGATTTACTTAGAAGAACACTGAACTTCCCAAGTTCAAATGAGACCAGGATCAGGTGCTCCAGGTAGGCAATTCAGACTCTCCTGGTAGCTAGGAGATCAAACCCTTGTAGCAAACAGAAATCCTAACCAACATGTTCCAGACAATGCTAAATTGATGGCAACCTGGGATGTTTTACATATATAATTTTCCTGTATTCTCTATCAGCTCTGTTACTTGAATTCAAGTTTTGTTCACATTTGGGCACACAGAAACCAGCTAGGTTTACATTTCCAGCACATTTCTATTGGGAACTGGTGACACTACTCATAACACACTTCTTTTCTGAAAACTCAAAAAAAAAAAAAGCAAAAATCTCTTCCACTTAGGAAGATTGTTTAATAGTATTTAACACTCTATAGAAAACCCTTTTTATTTCCTCCCTCAAAAAATAAGCAAACTAACTGGTTTTTTTTTTCCTTTCACACACGCCAGCTATTTTCTCAAAGCAAAAAAAGTTCTGTTTCCGAAGGGAGAGAAACATACAAATTCTATTAATGAATTACATACATGGAATGTGGCTTGTCTGGAGCAATTGTATTTGTAAATAAATGGCTTCCTGTTTATTATGTCTGAGCACATAGTAATTAATACAGCAAATAGTGCAACTCTGAGTTTGAGTTTCATCATTGTTATTTTGGCCTCATTAGATATAAGTTTAAATTGAGTTGATTGTTAAGTTCTTTATTCTTCAGTGCCCAAGATGACCTGAAGACAAGTCCCTTCTGAAGTTAACTCATTTGCAAGAGTTCGGGGAATCCGGGGCTGGTTCCTTGGAAATGTTATCCGAAGTAACCTGGGGCCTTTCACGTTTGCCCCAGAAGCTTTCTAAAGCCAACCACGACCTCAATTTGTCGCTTTAGCAGCGAAGCGGATTGTGACCTCTTTAGAGGGACATTGGGCACAGATCAGCCCGTGGGCACGCTTGCCCTGCCCGGCTGCCGAGCCCACACAGCGCCGGCTCGGTATCACCCTGTGGGACTGGGGCCCGCAACTGCCAGGGTGTGAACTGGGCTTGAGTGTGTGACTGTCACAGGGTCGGGCAACAGGCAGATCACCTCCCAGCCCGCGGGAAGCTGAGGCTGGGCCAACCACTACGGGGGATCCAAGAACTCCACCGCCCCACAGTCCGGCTGCCCAAACTTTCACAAAGCGACTTGCCTCCTCTTGCCCTGCCCCCCTCCGCAGTCCCAGCTGCCTGGACTTGTGAACACTGAGGAACAATGCGACCTGCAGGCGCGCCAGGCCAACGTGCTCTGACCTCTGCGCTCTCTACATTCGGATTATTGCAAAAGGAGCCCCAATTGAAGCCCTTTTCGGTGCCAGTGCATCACCCTCTTTTAGGAAGAGGTGCCAAGCACGCCCCTCCAGTAAATAAATCTCAGTGTAGGTCTCCCGGCTGGGCTACACAGTCTTTGAAGACCCAGAGGTTCAGGACAACAGTTTCAGGCTCCAGGGCAGCAGGAGGAGACATTCTGAGATCGCCCGGAGTCAGCCAGGCCCGGGATTCAGCCTCTCTGAACTTCAGGGTCAGCTGAAGGCAGGCGGTATCCGAATCCTCCTCCCTCCCCCTCCTCAAAAGAGGCACCAGCCCTGGATGGAAAATCCACATACCTGCAGCCAGGAAGGACAAGCCTTCCTATCTTCTCGTCTTCCAAAAAGTTAAGCACACAACCTTTAAAATTGAGTGACCCCAGCTTTTCCCCCAAGTCATCCTACCCTCCAAGGAAACTTTCAGAAGTTTCTTTGCTCTCTCCTCCTTGGGCTTTATGCCGAGTACTTTACCAACTGTCCTTAGTCCCTAGGTTTCTCAAGGCCCGGTTATTTCCATAATAATAAAAATCACAACAGTTATTATTAGGCTGGGGAAGAATCGGATCAGAGGGCCAGTGGACGACCGGGAAGGCAGGAATCTTGGTGAAAAAGGAATATTTCAACCTGCGTTTCAAAAGGTTTCAGTTTGACAACTATCAGTAACCCGATAGACAACTCCATTTAAAAAAAAAAAAAAGGAGAGGAAGAAAATTTACTACTGCTCTTGAAAGCCGTTATTTTTTTACATCGCTTTTAGGAAGATAGATGAACAAAACATCGCGTTTCAAGCCATTTTGATCTGTAATTAAATGGCAGGATCGGTTTGTATTCTCCTACGGCTTTTACAGAAGTTGCAGTGATCCAAAGTCGGGTTGCTGTGTCAGAGTGGCATTTTTATTAATGAGAATACAAAAAGCTTGCATATTCTTAGCCCTGCTTGAATTTAGTTGCTAAGCAACCGGTGTATGGTAATTCATCCGCGAAATTTAAATCTTTGAGAAAAGATCGTGCGTTTTTGCTGAATGGTCTCGCCACGAGGAAAACAACTTGTGGGACCCGCAGCAGCTGCCACCGTCGGTCTACCGGGCCTTGCTGGGTCCAGCCGGGACCCGGCCGCCCCGTGGCCACAGCCCTGGTCTCCCTGACTCGCTACACTGACATTCCTCCCCGGGAAGAGCAGGCCTTTGATACCCGGCGTCCAGCTTCCCACCACTTCACTCTGGTGATCTGGGGTTTTTCACCCCAGGCAGGCCCTACATTTGACCAAGTTGCCTTCGTCCCTGGGGCTTCTCAGTTCACACTGCAAATTTCTCCTCCTCTCCTCCTGTGCACACACGCGTGCATGCACACACACACACACACACACACACATACACCACGATGCCTCCAAGAGAATGCCTGTTGCCCCTTCCCAGACCCCTCTGAGGTCACTTCCAGAGCTGACTGTTCCTCGAGGAAGAGCGGCCTCATCAAGAACGCAACCCAACAGCCCACCAGAAGGCCAGGCGGCCGCCTCTGGCCGGCAGTGACATCATAGGCTCCTGCTCGCCAAACTCGCGCCCACATTTTAGGATACAGGAACAAACACGGATGTGAAATCAAGAATGAAAGAGAGAGTAATCTAATTAATAGGCCATGAGCCAGGCTAACAAAATCAAAGAATCTGATTACCCAAGTACCCTTCTTGCTATCTCCGCTGCCCCCACCCACTCCTACTCCTAGCTCTTCCAGACTCCTCCTGATTTCCTTTCCTAGACTGGAAAGTTCAGGAGGTAAACACAGAGCCCTCTGATTTCCTTGCTGAAATCAAGATCAAGCCTACCGTGGGGCTCCAGCAGTCAGAAAGGTCACATGGGCTACCTTCAAGCCCTGTGGAGTTGAGATGACCAAGCAATCTATAGAATTGGCAGAACCAGAGAGAGGTGGCCTCACATGCATACGTGGGTCACACCTAAGCACAACACCTGTCTTGGTGACTTAAGCTGTCAGTAGTAGGACCAGGAAAAAGGGGTTCTCTAATCAAAGCCATTAGAAAAAGGGTCTGTTCTTTTTTTTAAATGTAGCACCATGCTCCCCGCCCCCCACACACACCCTGCTTCTAGGTCACTTTAAACTCCCAACTGTCTTCAACTACCTTTCCCAGTACAGAGATCTGGACACCTTCAGGTATTAGGTTTTGTTACAGAAGACAGCATCTTCTCTAATCCTTACAGCCAGCCACATATATTTCAAAAGAGAATTCTTCACTTTCTATCTTTCTGCCTTAAAAAGGAAACAAAACAGTACCACCTCCTAAACAACTAATTTCAGGTCTGCATGCAGTGCCAATACTTGTTGCATCCATTTTAGAGTTGATTAATTATCTGGAACTTGGGCAAACTGAACTCCATGTGGAAAGAGTGTTTCATCCTTCCTTCAATTTAGTTCTGAAAGCTACAAGTTATTGATGGATCTTGCTCTATTTACATACAAATTGGTGCAAAGATGCCTATTTCTTAAAATGCATTTTGTATAGGTATATAAAAATGTCATTTTTGATTTAGCTTGAAGAGGTTGATCATTTATTACAAAAATAAACGAATAAATACAACAATATATTGTTGCTTCCAACAGGATAAATACTTTACAAATATATAATTAAAAACAAATTTAATTGTTAAAATTATTTCAGATATTACACTTATGGATAAAACTATAGTATATGCTGCATTTAATATTAGAACCAATGAGCCTCTGAATGTTGAAAACCATCCATACAATACAGGTTATGAGCACTGAAATGAGCAAGCTGTAGAGGCCACAGGGCAGAAGCAGAGGGCATCTCAAAGATCGATAATGGACAGTTCTATTTGGGAATAAAGTAGTCATCCTTGGCTAAATACTAAGAAAATGGAGAGGAAGAGCCACAACAGCAAAGTGACTTTTAAATATACCTCAGATGATTTACTGTACAGACTTTCAAGAGAAGATAGTTGGTGAAGGAAGGGACCAAGGCATGGAAAACTGATTGAGAAATATCAGAGGCCATTAGCTAGTTGTAAATGGGCCTGGCCTGGGACTAGCTAGGCTAGTGGAATAGAACTTTGTCATTTTCCTTTGGGTTGGAAGGGGAGGAGGGGATGGGTTGAAATGAAGGAAACAAATGGGCACTTTACAAAGAGAAGCACAAGACACTTGCACTGCTTGGGAGCACAATGACCAAATTCATTAAAAAGATCTGGTGATATATAACAATATTTTCATTATTTACATGTGTAACAATATGAGCCTCAGCACAAAACCTCTCAGTTATATCTCCTCTCTTTTGTGTTTCCACCATGAATTTCATTTTGTAAATACATTCAAAGCATTGGGTTTTTTTTTAGTCCAAACAGCTCACTTTATAAAATGCAAAAAGAAAAAAAAGAAGAAGAAACAAAAAGGAACAAGATG